AGTCATTTGAAAAAAAGTAAGAAAAATTTACGAGCACTTTCACAAGAACAAAAGAAACTTCAAGTGGTTCAAATTCAACTTACTTCTTTATACTTACAACATAAGTATACAAATATAAATATTGTGGACAAGAAGCAAATTCGTGAACATATTTATTTCAAAATTTTATCAAATTTTGTAATTTCTTAAATTTACTTTATGTCGAGAATAAGAAAAAAAATAAAATGAAAAATTTTGATCTAACAATTAAAATTAAATGCCACCGCACTAGATAACACCGACATCACTGAAATGTGGCTATTTTTAATAAAAAATTTTCCATTGACTTGTTTATCATGCAATTCATATCATTATTCCAACTAAGTTTTCGCTCTCTTCTTTTCGTCTTGTATACTACAAAGAAGAACATGGAATATGTAGTTCTAATTAGACTTACATTAAAATTTTATTAAAATACATGTATCCTATTATATTATATTAACACTGTACGATTTGCAATAATAGAACTTAATTGTGATTGTATTTAAGGTCGAAATTAAAAATTACTTTTATTGTTTAGAAACGAAATGAATGATGAGAAAATGTTCATTTGAAATATTGCTTTTAATAAATGTAATCAATATTTTTCGAAATGAAAATATTAAACTTATTGTATTAAATTTAATGAGTATGAAGTCAAATTTGCTCGAAACAATATTATTAATTTTTCATTGTGTCAACAATAATGAAGAATTGCATTCGACAACATATGTACCTATGGTGTTACATTCTGTAACACCATAATATTCTGAAGGATCTTTTGTTTTATCAACTTTCACTTAAAAAAAGTGTTTGGAATGCATTTAAATTCATTTAGATAAATGTGAGTTAAACTTTTTAAACGATTTCTCTAAAAATCTTATTACTTTTAAAATACCGAAAAAGTTTTCACAAAGAGAAACATCTTGCTACGTAAACTCATAATACTTTTTGATATCTACAACCTATAATCTTAGAGCATAGACAAAAATCCAAGAGCTCAATAAAATATAAAAAGTTTATAATTTTTTTTGGAAGAATTCCAGTTTCTTATTTAAAAAATTATTAGGGCGAATCTTTACTACTAGAATACTAAAAGAATCTTTACTACTAGAATACTAAAGGTAAGAATACTAAAAACACTGAATCTACTTTTTCCATATACATACATGTCCAACACTTACTAATTTATATCTTATTAAGCAGCATTTACATATTAATCATTGTTTATGGTTGGTCTGCAAAAATTTGTTCGCTGTTTTTGTTAAATGAAAAAAGTTAAACTTTATCCAATTCCCATAAAAAAAACCTATGAACAATGTTTGATGTTTAAACGCTGACTTACACAATAATTGGACACCCTACTTACTAATGATGTCTTTGAGTTCTAAATTCAATAATATAATATATATGTATGTATACACAAGGAAGACGAAACAAATAATAATAATATATTGGAATAATTCAAAAAAGATATGAAACATAGAGAGTGAATGAATAAATAACGATAACTTCATCAGTTTATGTTTCTCCCTCTGTTCTTTTCTTCTGTTTTTCTTTTATTTCCTTCTTTAAAATTATTTTTCGCCACAATATTCCCATTTCTTTTTAATAAAATAATAATTTTCCTAATTCAGCATTAGTAATAACAGCTTTGTTTCAAATGAACGTTTTATAAGTAAATCACAACATAAGAAAGTGAATTGTAAAGTTATTAGAAATAAAGAAAAAAAAACTTTTAGAAAATTAAAGATGCTGATGATGCTATTGAGCTAAGGAATTTTGTAAAAAATAAATCATTTCATTCTGCTGAATAAACTAAAAAACTCTTTTTTAAAATTGAATAGGTAAAGGTAACAAAAATATAAATTAATTTCATATTCAAGAGCCGAAGAAAAAGGCATAAAATCGTAAAGAGATTGGGAGATTTCAGTGTTAACCAAAACAACTCTAAGGTAAAAGCGTAGAAAAATCAAACAAGATTATTTCTGATTAAAAAATGATTGACAAAATGAGAAATTTCTCGAATTAAAAAATTATTTTCTCCGAAATATTAGTAAAAAATATTAAATTTTAGAATTTTCTAATAAAAAAATTCTATTTTTAGAAGCTCTGTGAACTAAAGTTTGAAAAGAAATACCTCATTTTTAATGCTATAGAAATAAAGCAGAAAAAATATATTATTTAAGATTTTAATGAGAACCAAATAAGAGCTAATTCAAAAAGCAAATCTCAAAGCACTTTTAAAATTATATTGGTCTCATAATAATGAAAATATCAACATTAAACCTCCTCTTCTTATTGAATTAAAAATCCTCTTCTAATTGATACATAACCTATATTTAAGTTCAATTTTCTTGCCTCAAAGATTTGATTTCTGTTTTGCATTTGATTTATGTTTATGTAAGAAACGTACGTAGAGTAGAAATGTGAACCATATTATTATAACAGCATTCTAAACGAAAATGAAAACTTACATTACCTTACATTTGTATGATTTTTACGCCTAAGCATGTAAAATTACTAAAAAAATAAATTACATGAAAACATATAACTTGTGGTATGTTTATAAGGCATTATGCAAATATCTATATAAATATGTCTTATATGTATGTATATTAATATAATAAAGTCCTTTAATTGTACCACATTGATTTATATTGATATTAGAACTCTTAAAAAGTATCTAAAATTCCAAATGAAGCAAAATAAGAACATTCGTAAAGTGGAATGAAATGGTTGCTTTTTGCACCAAGTTGATGAAAATCTAAATAGGTAAATTATAATTTCAAGCAAATTTTAATATAATTCCCATAGCGAAATTAAAACATTTTTGAATGAATTTTTGATCCTTAGAGGTTATCTTTCAATTCAATGCAGCATTCTGTTGTTTATTGATATTTTAGGAAAAAAAAAATTATTAAATGCTAGGTCAAACCTAATTTTTTTTATTTTCAAGAATTGTAATTTATTTACTTGACACTTTGATTGTTACATAAAAGTATATTGATTTGCCTTCAATATACATTTATTTGATATATTAACGCGTTGTTTACACTATGTGCATATTCTTAGGTTAGGTTGAAACAGCTACCCTAGTCAGAGCCAGGTCTATCATATATGCCATGCGAAGTAAGAAAAACAGGGACGCAATTAAAAACCTAAAAAAAAAACTAAATTTTGAGAAAATAATTTTTTCTATTCTAAAAACTTTTTTCTTTTTAGTTACAGAGAAGCTAACTTGATAAATATACATATGTATACACAAACATCATAAAACAAGCAGTTGAAAGTTTAATTGAATGCTTTAATCCTATGACTAATGTGGCACTTAATATAATAATGTTACAAGAAAATGATTTTTTATGCGTAATGTGCAATGTTGCATATTTTTTATTACATTGAAGGGGGTGCTTATAAAAACTAACTCAAATTTCTTATAAACCATTTTAGATCTCTGGCATTCATATTCTTCAAAAACAAAATGAGAATATATATGTAGTACTCAAAACATGATGACAGAATATATATTCAAAAAAACAAAAATAGTAATGAGTAATAAGTAACAGCGGTTTTTCGGTCATAAGTTCTCAAAGTAGGCCTCATAATAAAACGTTTCACTTTTCTCTTTTATGAAGAAAATATGAGAGATAGGATAAAACAAAGCGTCTCCTACTAAGTAAAAGTGGGTATAATTAATTTTATTGTACAATTACCATAATTTCTAAAAAACCTTTGATTGTAGATATTTCAAAAATTAGAAATCACAAAAAGATATTAAAAAAAAATTATTATTATTTTTAACTAATTTTACGCAGAAAGAGACAAAAAAATCCTTTAAATCAGCCGTCGGTAAACTTTCGTTAGTTATATGCAAATATGTACTATGTGAGCATGAGTGTGAGCCACTCTAGTTTCTTACATTACCTACTTACAACATAAATGAAATTTTCAACTGACTATATTGATTGTTTTGCTTTAAGAAATAATAAACTTGTATAAAATTTTATGTTCCTGTATCTGTTATATATGATTGAATCCTCAAAATTTTTTTGAAAAACTTTAACAGTCGCAATTGAACAAATTTTTCTCTTGCAAGTAATATGATGGACCACATTTTTAAGTTGAATGGGTCGCACTTTGCCGACGGCTGCTCTAAATCAAAGAAGTAAAATCAGAATTAATTTTATCTTCTTCCACAGTAATGTTAATCCTATAATAATATAGGAAATAGACAATAAGACACTTTTCACCCAAATACGAAAAGTGTACAAAGAGATTTTTAGAAATCTATTTAATATTAATCCAATATCAAATTCATTACTTTCTAAAATATGCTAAAATTTAAATCGTATTACATTAAAACACTCATCAATTCACTTTTTAAGTTAAATTTTTTTTTTCATTTTCTCCATTTTTTGTATTGTTATATTTAAATGAAATTTCAATTCATTTCTGTAGATTTGCATTTATTTAGTAGAGCAACACCAAAGAAAGGAGCAACAGCACATCATCGAATTTTATTATCCTCTTATTAATAAAAAAAAAATAAAAAAAAATCCTATTTATTTCTCATATTTAAATTTTGTGCTCTTTTTTTAAGTTTTAAGTTAATGTTCAATTTAAAATTTAAAATTCTAATCAGACAACTTCTTTAGTAACACAATGAGCATGAACAAGTTCTTTTTTCTTCTATTAAAATTGAATTATTATTACGAAATACTCTTTAATATTCTGAAAATTCAATTGACATTTTACATTCTTATATTACGTATAAATTTTATTATTAGTATACACATACATATGTATTGCTTAACAAATATGCATGGACGTACATGATGTGTATGTCAGATTATAAAATTTTGGTTTTGCTTCCATATATACAAGAAAAAGAAAAACAACATTTTTTTTCATGAAAATTTTTCATTTTTAATATTACTCTCTTTTTTTCACTCATTTTTGTTATTTTTTTTCTTTTCCAGAATTATTTCCTATAATCAACTGCAATGCATCGAACGTCATGCAATGACCGGATTAGTTAACCTTAGAGTATTGTCATTGCATGGTAATCAAATCTCTATGATACCGGAAGGTACATTTGATGATATGAAATCTATAACACATATGTAAGTATATATGTATATATATAAGCCATGAAGTCAAATCCCAATTTAAAGAAGAACGGAAAAATAAATTTATTTTGCTTTTTATTTTTTTAATTTTATATTAATTTTACTTTTTTTGTTAAAACTACATTTACTACTTGATTATTTCTTATTGAATTCGAATTATGTGTCATTTTTTTGCCAATTTCTTTTTTTTTTTCTATTTGAATAAAAAAATATCAAAATCCGATCACAAATCATACGGGAATACGAAAAATTGACTTTTTTTCCTCTTTTCCATGAATCTGTTAAAATCCTTAGAATATCCTTAATAAAAGTATTGATTCTAAAAAGGTTAATACAAAAAAAATACGACATGAATTGTGTTAGAGAAATAATAGAGCTAATACATCCATATTTATCTATTCTGTTCAACTTATTTTTAATTCTGACATTTATGAATTCAAATTCGGATTCTTCATTTCGATTTTTTTTAAATAAATGAGAACTGTAATTAAACTAAAAAACTTTAATCTTTTGCCCTATTTTTTAGAATTTATGGTAACATTATATTCATTGATGTTGCCAATAAAAGTCAACTAATTTTCTAAATCCTTTTTTTGATCTGATCACATATCTTGTCTAATTAATTGTTTAAATTTTCTTTTCTATCTGCTGAAAGGATTGTATTCGTTTCAAATAATATCAAATAAATTGTTATCAGAAAAATATAAAATTATTTCAAAAGTCATCTGTTAGGTTTAGGATAAGTTTTACCTTTATTCATAAGATCGTTAAGTCCAATTTCGATAAAATTGTGACTAAAATAAACATAAGTTTTTCACATTAGTACTTGTATTGCGAAATACGTTGAATATATATGTATTTGTCTATTTTGCTATAACACATTGGGGTAGCTTACTGTATTAATCAATCCCAAACTCGCCAGTTTTCACACATAAAACAACAAGAAAAGGCACATTTATTTCCGATTTGCCTCTGCAAAAAGGAAAGTTGAAATAATTTAAAGTATTCAATTTAATTTACTTTTATTTGTTGTGAATTAAACTGACTCCAATAATAATCGAAATTGCAAATCAATGCAATATTTTCAAATTATGTCTCACTCCAAAAACTTACAACATAAACAACATTCAATGCTATATTTAAAATTTTATTTTAAATTTCTTTTAATAGTGCTTTAGGTAGCAATCCGTTATATTGTGACTGTTCGTTAAGATGGTTTTCCGATTGGATTAAATTGGATTATGTAGAACCAGGGATTGCACGTTGTGCGGAACCAGAATTAATGAAAGATAAATTGATTCTATCAACACCATCTCATCATTTTCAATGTAAAGATAAAGTAAATAGCGAAATTTTATCAAAATGTAATGCTTGTTATAATTTCCCATGTCAAAATAATGCTCAATGTCAACCTATGGCACAACATGAATACAAATGTTTATGTAAACCTGGTACACATGGTAAACATTGTGAGTTAATGATTGATGCCTGCTATGGCAATCCATGTCGCAACAATGGTACATGTACTGTTCTTGAAGAAGGACGTTTCAGTTGTCAATGTCTACCAGGTTATGCAGGTGCAAGATGTGAACAAAATATTGATGATTGTATTGATAACAAATGTGAAAACAATGCTACTTGTATTGATGGTGTTCAATCTTATAAATGTAGTTGCCAACTTGGTTTTAAAGGTAAGTGTTAGAAATATAACGAAAATATTAAAATCATTTTTGTTCCTATAATTTTAAACAAATACATACCCGATTTATGAATCAGGGTAAAAAATAATTTTCCTAATGGTGAATGTATACATAAAAGGCTATTTAACTTTTATTTTATTAAAAAAATTATAATTAGTTTTACTCCGTACGTTTGTCCATGTAAATGCTAGCAAAACTTTCACACCCTTGAAAATAGAACATGTACATAAATCCTTACAAGAAACTTATTTCCGTGGAAGGAAATTTTTACCTATCTTCCTGCCTGAAAAAGTTATAGCATCTCAAAACAGTAATACATTTTTTAAATTCTGTAAACGTAGAAAAGTAGTGGCTAGCTTTTTCTATCGTAGTATGCCGTATATAAATTCTACTAAAACAAAACGTTTTTTCCAAATTTTTGATTCGTTTTTCTTGTAAACCGCAGGCTGTACGAGTCAGCAAATTAAGCAAACTTTTAAGAAACCGCAAACTTTTCCAAATTTCTATAAATGCAGAAAGTCAACATTAAACCCCGTGCCATTAAAAAGTGTTAACAATTAAACCTTAAATTCGAGCATTGTGTTAACGCCTCTTTCAATTTTTTTTTTAAATATCATTGAAATATTTTGGTAACTGATATTTCATAATCATATTATATATTTTATTATTATAATCAACAATATATTTTGGAAAGTAATTTTAATAACGTAGTAAGATTGTTTTTAAAATTAATTTTTCAATTGTTGCTTTACGAACCTTTGGTTTGATCAAACTTTATTTCCTAATCTGCAAACTTTCCTAAATTCCTTAAAAACCAAAAAGCTAAATCTAAATGCTATATATGCCATTGAAAAATGTAATTACTTATCTTAACTCACTTACATAGTCGTCGATCAATACTAATTCGACCAATATACTAATGCTTTTTTCATTTCTTTCTTACTCATGCAATTATTTTAAATATTATTGTTTTAATCTATTTTTTTACAACTTACCAATTCTTCCTCGAGTATTTAATAACTTTAATTTTATTAAGTGAATCAAATATTCTGTTCTATATTAAACTAAAAAATCAAAAAAATAATTAAACCTTCTGAAAACATAGTCGAAATTTAGATTGAACAAAATATTAAAAGAAAAATTCTCAGAATAGTTTAATTTCGAATAAATAGTGCTAAAATTTATAAAATATTTTGAAATTCAAAACAATTTTTTGCACACAAATACCGTGAAATTGTCACTTGCCTCTTTTCACCATTTAAATATTGAGATTTTTTTTCTTTAGTAAAATTAAACCACGAAACCGCAAATCTGCGCAAAGAAAATTCAATATCATCAATTTTATACAATTATTGCACAAAAACATACAAAAAGAAGTTTTCCTCTCTATATGTATAAAATAATGAATTTACTTTCTCCATGTATAACAGTTAAATATTTTGAATACGTTTTTTCGTTCTATGGTTTAATGTATGTTTATGCATACATTTTTGTTGATATGTATACCTGTTATGTATATATAAAAATGTTGATAAAAAACTATGCTTTTTACAGAAAACCAATAACACTATTTCAGTTATTTTCTTTTTTTTGGATAGATAATAATTTTGATCGAAGTAGAAAAAAAAATGCAAACTGTCCGCAATTGCCCAAAGGATTAAAATCTCATTTTCTACAGAAAACCCTTATTCCTTTTGGTCTTGTTTTGTTTTTCAATTTTAATGTTTTTTATTTCAAACGGAAAATTAAGGGAGTGTTTACCACAATTTATATAGAACTAGATTCTCGTTCTTTTTTTTTATTTCACCTGAAAATGTTTATTGAATTATCCTTTAATGGGGAATTGGACTGAGTATATTCAAATTCAAATTATGCAAACAGATTCAAAACAGATTTTTATGCTTTGTCTCTTTTTCTTTATTTTGGGAACTTCAAAAAAAGTTTAAATTTAAAGTTTCGGGTCGTTTTAAATTTTGAATATGAAAAATATAATTTGTACTTGAAAAAAATAAAACGAAGAAAGTACATTAAATAAATTAAGCTTATTTAAATTTGCGATCATTCAGTACAATATTGAATTCAGTTGAAATGAATTATAATTAAAATATTCTACAGAGTTTCAATCTGAAAAATTGGATTATAAAACATATTTAAAATTTCTATATACGAAAAATTTTTCTTATATAAGAAAAATACGGTACAAAATCTTGCTTGATTTTGTTCTTTCATGTCGTTGTTTTTCTTATTTCGATTCTTTAACTTTCTGTTCCAATAAATCCAAAAAAAATTGAGTAATTCAAGAAATTAACGTGCGATGATACTTAAAGACAGGTTTTCGAAATTACAGAAGGGAATTTTTTTCGCTAAAAGAGTAATTCTGCCGACGTCCTGAAATTAAACACAAAGAGACCCCAGAATTTAAATTTTCTCTTAAAAGAATTTCCTATAACTTTCCATAAATTAAATTTTACAGCATTCATTGTACATTAAAAAGAACAAATTAATAGTCCAAAGTATATATAAGGCTCATTATTACTTTAATATGAAAAAAATATATTCTTAAAGAATAGCAACACAAAATTCTCACAAAAACTTGTACGACAAAACCAAATGCTGCAAACTTGAAACTTTACTTATGTGGAATGTCAAAATAACATATGCAATGTCTAATTTAAAAAATCTCAACATTTAATTTAACATTTTGCTTGATTTCCCGAAAGCGGTTTCAAACCTAACATGCAGTATTTTCAATATTAAAACTTTCCAAATTTTATAGTTATATAAAACGTTTATTGTAAAAGCTAAATTAAAATCTTTTGAAAAATAAAAGTTTTTGTACAACTTTACATTTACACAATATTTTCATACTAAGCATTTATTATTGTTCCCATTTGTTCACCTCCGGTTTGTTTAATTTAAAATTATTTGTTACGCAAATTGCATAAAAAAAATCTCAAGAGCCTGAAATATTTTTTGAATAGAACGAAAAATAAAACTGTTGCATAATTTTTTATAATTCAATTTAGTGGAAGAATGGGTAAACGTTTACATTTAATTGAGATTCAACAAAAATATAATAATTATGTACACCAAAAGTGTACAGAAGTGAAATAATTCCAATAGTTTTTTCTTTTAGTAAATGAATCACAATTTTCCAGGCTTTTAATTAAAATTATGTTGTATTTTTTGGTACAATAAATTTTACTCTATATACAATTAGAAAATTTCTCGTATAAAACTAAATGATCCCCCATTCATAGTTTCTATTTATAAAACTATTTTTAGAAAAGCAAAATTTTTTCCTCTTAATTCTTTGAAAGAAAATTACATAATAATTTTTTGTTCTCCTTTTGACTATTTTAAACCTAGAACGTAACAACATAATAAATCTATATGAATGTAAAAATACTGAAATTCCACTCGAAAATTTCTTATTATTTTGAAATCTTAGATATGAGGTTCAATAAAATTTTTTATTTAATTTAATCTAACCCAAACCTACTAAACAAGATTTTGTTTATTTTATATTTCTATTTAGGCGAACTTAAAAAATATTATTAAAGAAAAATTCATAATCCTAGGATAACTGAAAGAAAAAAAAAATTTCTGTCGTTTACTATTTCCGTTTCCTTTAATAATCCCATACTTTTTTTATTTTCTAAAAAATTCTATTTTTAAACAAGATTTCATAGTCTTCAGTTTTGCATCCTCTATATTCCATTTTCATTTTTTATATTTTTTATGTTTTTGCCATTTATTTATCTTTGAAATTTTGTTACTTCCTTCCAAATTAAGAGATTTTGTCCAAAATTATATACTTTTTTTTTTGCTAAGTACTCTTGAACAATAAGTTAATAATGATTTAGTTTAACTTTCACGAATAGCAAATGTGAATGACATTCTTAGGCTCATTTATAGTTTCTAAATTTTTGTAAAAATCGTACGGGATTTCAAATAAAACAAAAATAATACCGCGAATCGAACGTGTGAAAAAAAAAACATTTAAAATTCTCTAGAATTGAATCAATAAAAATTGCTAATCTTTTAATTATTAAATTAAATTAAATGGTTCAAAACTCGATGCTGATAAACTTTTGATACATTGATATTGATTAAAAAAGTGAATATAGCAGTACATTTTTGAACTCCGTCACTACAATTCGGGTTATTATCGTATAAAATTTCCATGCAATTACATTTGTATTCCTTATATAATTCTAATACAACTGCATTTATTAGTGCGGACAAAAGAGAAAAAAAATTGCTCAGGATAAAGTTACATAAATTTTAAAATTTTATTCATATTATGTAAAATATAAATGGCCCAAATTTCAATTGTAAACCTCCAATATACTAAATGAAAGTGATAAAGACATTCTGTATGCCATTAATATTTGTAAATGTGAGGGAAACTTGGTTGATAAGTTGAACATTTCCATAACAGGACAGGGACACCATTTTGAACGGCTGTTGTAAATTTTTCTTAAAATTTCTAGTTATACTTAAAATTTCAAAAAGTAAAAAAATCAGTCGAAATTGACTTTAAGCTCCTGTACCTCCGAACCTGTTAAACTGTGAACATCGTTTCCATACAAAAGTTTTGTCATGAGTGCCTATACAATGGCATATAGCAGTGCACTTTGTTACGAAACACTCTGTATAGAAGCGCTTTAAATCTGGGCCAATTTTTTTTAATTTTATTTACTTAAATATTGAAAATTGTTTCAAAATATTATTTTTGAAATTTGATCAACAGAAAAGTAAAAAGTGTTAAAATAAATTTTTGCAACTCATGTTTTCTCTTCTTTGAAAATATAGAAAAACTATAATGCAACCCTAAAGAAATGCACACTACGAACATATTTTTTAACATATTTTAGTGCAACAAAAACCTTACCTGCTAAGTGGCGATACACAGAACATGTTTCCGTCTTGCAATATTCTTTGGTAGTCAGGAAAAAAACTAGTTAAAAGTTTTAACAAGCTTTGTA